AAAATATATATAGAGAGAGAGGAGCAATTAGACATGAAATGGAATACCAAAAAGTTATACATTGCTAAATGATGTGCCTTAACCAAGGGAAGTTGAGTAGGTGTGACGTATGTTACTTCTGGGTGGAAGCATTTAGGAACCAGGACTTGACTCTTAACATTCTCTTTTCTTCTTCATGTTGAGTTGGCACAATCCTGAAATGAAGTGCTGTGATTATGTGCAACGGTGATTCCCTCCAACCTGCACATACATGCTGACATCCACTGGACACACAACATAAGAAAGAAACCTTGTGTTAACCTCTGAGATTTTTTATATTTGATGGATACCCTTGCCTTCCTGGAATAAAATCCATTTGGTCACTATGGATTATTTTTTTAATGTGCTGACAGATTCTGTTTATAAATAATTTACTTATGTTTTCTTCATTGATATCTTTAAGTGAGATTGGATTATGGTTTCTTTTTGTGTGTGTGTGTGTGTGTGTGCGCATGTGGAGTGGGTAATCTATCAGATTTTGATATTATACTTAGTACATAAACATAACTTAGGTGATTTCTTCTGTTCCTGCATTCTGAAAATGTTTAAGGCACGCTGGAACTATCTAGTCTTTAAAGGTTAATAGAATTCTATGAGCTTACCTGGACCTGGAGTTTTCTTTGAAGGGGCAGCTCTGGGAGTACCTTTCTTTAGTTCATCTATGGAAATAGGTTGGATGGGCTCTACATATCTCTATGAGGACCAATGACAATTTTCAAAAAAAATTGACTATTTCACCAAGGTTTTCAAATGTATTTGCTGACAGTTGTGCAAAGTAGTTATACTTTTTTTCTTGTTTTGTTTATTTATTATTTTGTATATTTGTGTTTCCTCTATTCTTTCTAGTAGCTTAAAACTTTGTTGGTCTTTCCCTCGTAGGTTTTCTGGTTCTTCAGCTGTGTTTGTTTTTAATAACAGTTGACTTATTTTACCTTTTTTGGGGGCCTGGCCACACCAGGCAGCTTGTGAGATCTTAGTTCTCCAACCAGGGATCGAACCCAGGACTCTTGGGCAGTGAGCATGCAGTGTCCCAACCAATGGGCCACCAGGGAATTCCCTGTTTTCTAATTATTCGGTTTCTTTTATCAACTTTTTAGTTCTATACATTGCTGTTAGAGTCTGATTCTCATTTTTCTTTATTGTGTAAGTACTCTTATCTATTTTTCCTAGAGGCCAGATGATTTTTTTTTTTTTTAACTAGTACCTAGAGTTTGACATAATAGTTTTACTGGGCCTTTTTCTTAAAGTTAACTCTCCTGAGTCAGTTTTCCCAACTATGCACACAGTGGGTCTTTATAGTATTTATATTCGGGGCCTTTTCCTTTCAGAGGGAGGAAAGTTTTACTGAATTACCATTTTAAGTATCAATTTTGTTCCTTTGTTTTCCTTCAATTCCTCTTCAATATAAAATTCAATACAGTTTAATTTTCAACTATATTCAATTTGATTCAATTTGTTTCCTCTTTCTCTTATCTATAATTTCCCCTATTTTCTTTCATTTGTTTTTTCCTTTATATCTTCTTAGTTGGATATCTTCACCCTGTGCATCTTGAGTTTAGGTTTCTGAGGTAATTTTTCCTTTTTATGCAATTTCTTCACTGAGTCCTGTCAGTTCCCACTTCTCATCTACATCTACTCAAAGTTTTTCAGTTGTTTTGTGGTATCCTCACACCTATATCAGCTTGTCTATTTTTTTAAAAAACATATTTAATTTGACTGTGCCTGGTCTTTATTGTGGCATGTGGGATCTGGTTCCCTGATGGAAGTTGAACCTGGGCCTCTACGTTGGGAGTGCAGAGTCTTAGCCACTGGACCACCAGGGAAGTCCCTGGCTTGTCTATTTTTAATTCATGTTGGAATGTTGCATTCCAGTTTTGCCTGTAGTGACTTGGGGGGTGGGGGGGGTGTATATATTTTATCTCATCAAAAGTTTGAATCTTTTGGTTTTTTTTTTTTAACCATATCCTCTTAAGGATGCTGCAGTTTTATTAATGTTCATATCTGAGGATGTTAAGTTCACCTAAACCACATTAGCAGGAGGATATGGATAAGGGCGGGTCAAGGAGAGGGCTTTGGGGGATTACCACATTTCCCAGGGCTCCCCCTTCTGGTGCTATGGGGAGGGACAGACTCTACTATTGAGCACCTCTTAGCGGCTGAACGGGCGTCCCAGGTGGCGCTCAGTGATAGCCCATCTGCCAGTGCAGGAGATGTAAGAGACGCGGGTTTGATCCTTGGGTCGGAAGATCCCCCGAAGAAGGGCATGACAACCCACCCCAGTATTCTTGCCTGGAGAATCTCATGGACAGGGGAGCCTGGCAGGCTGCAGTCCATGGGGTCGAAGGGTCGGACATGACTAAAATGACTTAGCACCATGACTGAACAAGACAAGACCTCTTTGTGGTCAGTCTTGCTCTGATCCAGCCTTGCTTTAGTAAATATCAAATTGTAGCCCCTTCTGTGCTTCCTTTCACACTACCTCTGGCTTCAGAGGCGCCTCTGTCACCCACAAAAGGGGTGCCTTTCCAAGACTGTCAGCTCTGGTCCGGGAGGCACCGGGACAGTTGGATCCCACAGGGCTCCCTGGGCCAGAGCAGATGAGTAAGGGGCAGAGAGAAGCGTGCCTGGGCCTCGGTGGGAGCTCCGAAACAGAATTTGAAGAGAGGATCTCATGGAAGAAAGGGAAACAGAGTCTCTCTGTGCCCCTTCCCAGGACTCCGCTGTCTTAGTCCACGGGTGATGACCACCCTGACCTCCCAGTACATGGCTGCTCCCCAAGGTGAGGCTCCTGACCACCAAATGGAGGAGTAACAAGAGGACAGAGGTTTGCTGGGCAAGAGGAAATCCTGGGGCTACCCTGGCTGGAGGAGGCTGACTGAGGGGAGGCAGTGGCAAGAATGAAGTCAGGGGTGGGTGGCTGAAGTCCCTGAAATCCCCAAGTTACCAGAATGCACTTGAGGAAATTATTCATCTGTTTTCCTACTGAGTTATATCCAGTAGCCTCTGCATATGCCTGCTTCTACTACAGGCAGGACCCACAAGGGTTTTGAGGGCCAGAGAGGCCTACAGAGAAAGCTAGAAAAAGATGAAGGAAGGATGTGGCTTCCAGCTCAGGGTCCTCCCTTCCTCCCAAGCAGTCATTCTGGGGACCATCAACACCCTTCCCAGCATTTCAGGGAGCCCAGTCCTTGGGAGGAGTCTTGGGGAGAAGCTAGGAGTCCAGGTTTAACTGCCCAGCCTACAGTTCTCCTTTGCTCTGCCAAGGCACTGGATTTAGCCCAGAACCTAGAAGTACCAGGCCCACCCTATTTCTGGATCTCATCATTCACAGCTCCCAAATACTGATCTCTCAAGGACCAGGCACTATTTATCTGCCGCTTTATGATTCTGTCAATCTGTGCTTTACACATTTTGAGGCTATTTTATGAGGGGCATAGAGGTTAGATTCAGGCTCTGTGTAACTTTTTCTGAATTGTTATAAAGTGTTTTTCCTAGTAATACTTTCTGCCTAGCAGGTAAGTGCTCTAGTGTTCCTCTGCCTTCTTCTGTCCCTTTCATCTTGTATGTTTTCAAAGCATCTTTTGCAAAGAACTTGCAGCTATACATGTTTTCTAAAACTAACCTTATTTCTCATTTTTCTTTTGACAGGCCTATTTACACTTACATTAACATACTTGAACTCATTTATACCACTTTGTTTTGTACTTTTTAAAAAGGAACTTATTTGGCTGCATTGGGTCTCAGTTGCAGTGGATGGCGTGGGCTTCTCTAGTACAGGCTTAAGTCGCCCCACAGGATATGGGATCTGAGTTCCCCAACCAGGAATCAAACTTGAGTCCCCTGCATTGGATGGCAGTGGACCAGCGGGGAAGTCCCTATTTTATTCTTTTCATTAACTAGGCTACCTCTTCTCCCCACACCACCCACCTCCAAACTTTTCTTATACTATTAGACTTGGATTTATAGGCTCTGTTCATAATCTCTTTGAGGTTTCCCTTGCTGCATTAGTATTACCTATTCAGGGAGCTTATTCCAGGTTCCTTGCTCCGTGAGAACCCAGGCTACATCTCTACTTAGGCATTTTAAAACATGTAGTCCCTACCCGTCCCAAGGGCTGATTTCTCTATCTGAAACAGGCTTGCCTCAGTGCCAACTCGGCTTACCAGTCTGGCTTTGATTTTCATGTTTATTTCTGATTTCCAAGCTTTTCCATGATATCTATAATTCTAAGGTTAGCATGACAACTTTTTAAAATTCTGCTTTATCCCACTTTTTGCGTAACTTTGTAGGAGGTTCGAGGGTGACTTTCTGGGTCAGCTTATACAGACATGTTTCCTGAAATCCTTAGGTGATTCATTTATTAGCTCATTAATCTACAGGATAGTCAGGTGATAAAGAATCTGCCTGCAATACAGGTGACCCTGGTTGGATTCCTGGGTTGGAAAGATACCCTAGAGAAGGAATAGGCTAGCCACTCCAGTATTCCTGCCTGGAGAACCCCCATGGACAGAGGAGCCTGGTGGGCAGTCCGTGGGGTCACAAGTCAGACACGACTGAGTGACTAAGCCCAGCACAGGATAAAAGGGATTACTCTCATTTCCTGGGCTTCCCTGGTGGTTCAGCCGGTACAAAAATCCGCCTGCAATGTAGAAGACTTGGGTTCAACTGCTGAGTTGGGAAGATCCCCTGGAGAAGGGCATGGCTACCCACTCCAGTATTCTGGCCTGGAGAATTCTATGGACTGTATAGTCCATGGGATCTCAAAGAGTCAGACATGACTGACTGATTTTCACTCATTTCCTAAATGAGGGGATAACTGTTTCATTGTTCTCCTTGTTTCACATTATTTCAAAGATTTTTCCTCCGTAAATCCCCGATGAACACGAAGGTAATGGTTTTTATTTTTAACCTACACTTTTAGTTAGAATAATGCTAGCTTCTGTAACAAACAAGGCCAAAGCTCTCGGTGGCTTAAACAGTAAGTTTATTTCTTACACACAAGGATTTGCAGGGTCGCTGCTCCAAGCAGTTGTTTAAGGACTCAGCTTCTTCCACTTTTGGTTCCACGCTCCTCTTGGACCTTGGACAGCTCTCTGTTCAGCCAGATGATGGGGAAAGAGAGGCTCTCGTGGGAGGTTTATGGAAGCAGCCCTGCCTGGATGTTGTGCATCTCTTCCGTCCATATCCCACTGGCCAGAAATCAAATGGCTACATGTGTAACTGTGAGGGAGGCTGGGAAAGGTGGTGCAGCTCTGTGCCCAGGAGGAAAGGAAGATGAATTTAGTAAACCCTAGTCTCTCTGCCTGTATTTTTTAATTCTCTGTTCTACCATTTTCTAAATATCTGGAAATGATTTAATCACAGTATCTATAATGATACATTTTATCTCATCCATTTAGCCCCTTAGGTAAGCGTAAAATAACCTGCACGTGTTGTATCTGTATGAGTTCAGTGTCTTCATTTCTTGGTCAGGTGTTCTCTGCCCATCCTTACACACTTACTCTTAACTTCCATTTCCTTACCTGTTCACCTCTGTCGCTTTGGTAAAACTGTTTATTTCCCAAGATGCCCATGGAAGGGAGAGGGGGCAAAAAGGGGGGGCACCCCCATCAGGGAGCGAGGCCCTGATCACCCTGGGTGGCCACTCAACCTTCGGAGCTGCCCTGACTCAAACCCAGAACCAGGCTGACCCTGGGCTTTCCCCTGCCACAATGCAGACAGAAGCCCGAGGCTGGGCTACGGGAATCTATTTCTTCACGGCTGCCCTCAGATCAGTCAGCTGGAGTCATACCCACTTTCTCTCCAGGAACAGTCCTGGCAGGATCAGAGGGAAGACTTAAAATGTCTCAGTAGGGCTCCCTGGCTTAGGGGAAGTATAGACTCCTGATTTGTTCCTCCCACTGGAGCAGACAAGCTATCCTCAAATTGCCTTTGTTCACAGATCTGGTCAGTCATCCAACCAGCTGGTCACTCATTAGAAACCCTGCGAGCCCTGGCACCCTCCGGGCCCAGCTCTGGGATGTGCATGCTCCAAGCTGAATGAAACCCGCCTCCTGCCCTTGGAAGCACTTTCTGCCTTACAGTCTATAAGAGACCACGTGGGGGCAGAGAAAAAGCTCAAGGTATTGTGATGAGCGCTCTGATGGTGGTCAGTGCGAGGGGCTGAGAGGGGTGAGGAGAGGTCACAACAAGCTCAGCGTGAGGAGTTAAAGCGGGAGCGCGCAAGGCCCAGCCTCAGCACAGCCCCAACCCGCCTCAGTTCCGGGCTACAGGCACCCCGAGCAGAGCTGGCTGCACCTGTTCTTGGACCTACGCTGTGTCCCAGCTTACCTGCCCAGTCAGGGTCCTTCCTCAGCAAGGCTGGATGTCCAGGGCAATCTCTGCATCTCACCACTGCTCTTCAGGCCATTTAAAACATTGACTGTGCAGAAAGACTCCCAAGGCCCTCAGCAGCTCACCCAACCCCTCTTCCTGGAAGCATCATTATGAAAACCTCTCCACGGAGGCCGGTCCTGCCTCCTTTGCATCTGTCCTTTCTTGTCAGCTCATGCTCACCCTCTCATCCGCCCCCAGGCCCAGCTGTGGGCAGCCAGTGGCTCCCTGCGAGGCCGTGGGGCATCTTGAGCTGGCCTGGGTCTGCCGCCTTCCCCTCCACCACTGCCCCTTCCTGGTCTTCAGGGCCAAAGCCCCAGAGAGCTGGAGCTGCACATGAACTCCATGGACGGACTGGCTCTGAGGAGGCCTCCTCAGGGGGTGGCCCCGACGCGCCACAGGATTTAAACGCATGGATTCTGGGGCAGGAAACTCAGGGGCGTCCTGGGCTTAAGTACTGGGTGTGTCTGAGAGTTAAAATTCTCCCCAAGCCATCTCGGGAGAAGAGAGGGGTTATCCATCCATTTAAGATGAAGCTGCAAAAGTCCAGGAAAGATGAGGTTGTGGCAAAAATGAAAAGGCAATACAATGGACCTTTTCCAGTCTGTTTCTTCAGGAAAGCCTGCAAAGTTATACGGCCAGCAAATTCACAGGGACAGAAACTTTTTAAACTGTAGGAAGGCCTCACACGGTGAAAATGTATCCAGCAAAGGGAGTATGAAGGATGCTGGCAGCCCCACACCTGCCCATTCAGAAGCCGGCGCCAGGCGGGCCCTCAGGGAGTTGACTTCAGACAATCTCGTTTCCCTCTTTGGGCCCCTTTTCCTTATTTCTCAGCAGAAATAACAGGAGGAGGAAGATATTTCCAGTCCTGGAGAGTTCATGGGTGATGGTTCTCGGAAGTGTTATCTTCTTAGGTATAGATGAAAGAACGCCACCTGCTGGGCATTCACAGTTTTGGAATCAATTTACAAAACTAGCTACATGGACAATATAAAATTTAAAGGATTTAAAAAAAATAAAAACAAGAACGAAAACAGCTTTAAAATGTAGCAAGAAGGACGCCTGTGTACACACTCTGTACACCTCTGCCACCATCACGTTCATTCACTCTCATTTACTGCTGCAGAAGCGAAGCCTGTGGCTCATCCACGGCACAGCAAAGACAGCAGGTCCGAAAGTCTGCTCGTCCCTTCACTGCAGACGCCCCAAAGAGCACAGTTCCAAGGGGTAACTCCTGGTGGCCCTTAACTGTCCTCCCCTGGAGAAACCCATCTCGCAGCCAAATGTTCCCAGCAGACTCGGGCCGCACACAGCTGGCAGAGTCTGTCCCGACGTGGCCCCAAGTCCCTGGAGGGGCCCCTCCGCTATGCCTGCTCGCCGGCCCCACCTCCACTGGCCCCCGAGCCCTTGCCGGATGCCTGGGCCTCTGCGGAGCGCGAAGCTTGCTTGGGCAGGCGGATGGGGACGTACACGTTGGAGGCGCAGTGCTCCCTGAGGTAGCCTCCCCCCTTCTCTTCATAGTCCTTCCTGGTGATCCAGACGTCCTCGTTGTCCAGGTGGTCCAAGGCCCAGTCGCGAGCTCCGTACCAGGCGTCCAGCACGGGGTTTGCGGCCAGCTGAACCTGGAAGACGAGCAGAGCGGTCACCGGAAGGAAATCTCCCATCGGTTTCTAAGGACTGAGCGTGTAGCAAGGCTGGCTACAGAAATGCACACACAGGAGGGCCCCCTTTGGTTCCAGGACGCGGCAGGACGATCTCTGCACCCCTCAAACGGAGCTGAGCTGAAACGCCCCAGACAGTCCAAGGAAGGACACGGACATGGCGGAGTGCACCACGACCGACCTCACAGAGCACGGGGTCATCAGTTACTTTATCCACGCCACCCTGGGCGGGGCGAGGGACCCACTGCCCGCCTCCTGCCCCCGTCCTGTCGACCACAAGGTGTCAGGTGGAGACCGGGAAGACCTGGACCTGAGCCCCTCTGCCCACGAGGAAAGCAGAGGCTGACGCGAGGGGGCTCTGGCCATGGTGGCAAACGAGGCTCAGAGGACGTGAGGGCAGAGAGGCTGCCCTGGGCTCGGTTTCCGCTGCTTTTCCCAGGAGTAAGACCGTGGTCAGCAGTCCCGGACTCCCAGTGAGGCTGGAGCTGACCACATGGCAGACAGCCGTCTAACTCAGACCGGGCTCCTCTTTCCTGGAGTCGCCTGCCTGACTTCCCACCTCCTCCCTGCTCCCTCCCTCCACCTCCCATAGAAGTCCCAGGCTGGAATGGAGGTCTGGGAACTTTCTGAAGTAAAGGGCCAGAGGAATCAGCACAGATGGCGGAGGAGGAGGCAAGGGACCTGCGAGAAAGGACCATCAACAAAATTAGGGTCACGAGCGCCCTGGCCGCTCTGGCCTAGGAGTGTCACTGACGGGACAAGGAGGCGCTCGTTCTGCTCCTTGCACCAGGCGAGTGCCCACGGCTGAGGAACATCAAGTAGGACCATGTGTGGAGTCTCGGCGGGTCCTTCTAGCGACCTGTGGAGTCCAGCGTGTTCTCAGGGGCCCTCAACAGCTGATGTCTGTCCATCACACGCAGGCCCTGGGCTGAGCGCCCGATTCGCCCTGCACGCTGAAAGCTGCGAATGGGTGCCAAGATGACCCCCCTTCTCACTGCTGCGGAAACTGGGGTGTGGCAAAACTCCAGTGATGGTGGTGCTGGAGTCAGAACCCAGGTCCAGAGACCACCGCCTGAACGTACAACACGTCACATGGCACAGGGTGGGCCAAGCCAAGCCCCTCGGCAGGACACACAGGCTCCCTACCCCATGCCCCCTGCCAGCCTCTCCAGCACACGCCCCCACCCTTCACAGCCACTCTCAGCTGCACACCCCTCAGCAAGGTTTTGGCCCCCAAGCCTTTGCTCCTGCTTGTTCCCCACCCCACCCAACCTGGAACGTTCTCTCCATCCCACCCCCCGCCCTATGTGACAAACACCTCCTTGCCCTTGGAAGACTCACTTCCAAGGAGCCGTCCCTGAACTCCAAGACCCCTAGGTGCCCAGGACATCTCAGCATCCTGAGATGACTGGCCCACGAGGGGAGCTCAAACCACGTCTCTTAGTGATTGGGAATTTGGTAAAGAAATTGTGGGGTACCCCCACCAGACAGCTGCTTTTAAAAGTATTTCAGATGAATAATGACATGGGGAAATGTTCCTGGCAGGTAAAGAAATTCAAGTTACAAAAGCCATGTGTAGAAAATGTGTGGAAGAAAAAACCTCCTCAGCCAGTCCCCTCTGCCTGTGGCCCAGGGCCTGGGTGAAGAGAAGGCCTTAATCTCAATGTACACTCTTTTTAAAGAAAATAATTTTGGTAATAATGAACCCCATATGCCGCAGGGCAAGTGAGGCTGTGTGCCACAAGTACGGAAGCCTGTGAGTCTAAAGCCCAAGCTCCACAACAAGAGAAGCCACTTCGATGAGAAGTCCGTGCACCACAACTAGAAAGTAGCTCCCGCTCACTGTAACTAGAGAAAGCCCGTGTGTAGCAAGGCAGACCCAATGAGGCCAAAAGTAAATAAATAATTTTGGTGATGATTTTTAAAAATTTAATTAATTTAGCTGCACTGGATCTTAGTTCCAGCACGTGGAATGTTTCATCTTTGCTGCCACACGTGGGATCTTTAGTTGTGGCATGTGGGATCTAGTTCCCTGACTGGGGATCAAACTCGGGCCCCCTGCACTAGCAGCGTGGTGTCTTAGCCACTGGACCACCAGGGAAGTCCCTCAAGGTACACTCTTGGGTACTCTCTAAATGTATACTGTATGCAGGTCTTATTTGTCAATGAAATCAAAACAAAGAAGTACATAAATTATGATTTCCATTTTGCTTTAAAAATCTGAAAACAGAAGGAAAGCCACGAATGTGTTAACAGTGGCTGTCTCTGGATGATGAAATGACAATTTTTCTCATTTACGCTGTACTACTTTTTCAACTCAGAAAACAAACAATAAGGTTATTTTCAAAACAGCTGGTTACATGGATAATTGGTACCTGAAAAGAAGACTGAAAAGGCCTCATCTCCAGCAGTTCCTTCTCGATTCTGACCTTCATCCCAGGATACATCATGTTCCCACCAGTGAGGAGAACGTTCTGAACCAGCAGCTCTTGAACATCCTTTGGGTACCTAGGGATGAAATGATTCCACTGCTACAGTCTCTCCTACTTGAATATTGGAAGAGAATGTGGATGTGGAAATGTGAGCTCTCAGTACAAATCAGAAAACATCCACACAAAAAGTTAAAAAACAAACAAACAAACAAAACACTTTCCATTTTTCATTTGCCTTTACAGAATGAATGTCAAACAGCTAGCTAAAACCTTAATTTGAATGGTCAATCCATTTCCTTAGCATTATGCCTTTCTAATACATGTTTTTTAAAAATTGACTTTAGTGAGGATTGCTTTAAATGCATTTAAATGAAGTCTGACAAATTTATAAACCCCAGCAACCACCACCACAACCAAGATACAGAACATTTCCATCATCCCCCGAAATCCTGCCTCTCCTTTTGAGGACTTCCCTCTCCACTTGTGCTTTTTATTACTAGTTTTATCTTACACATTTGATCATTTTTCTACTCACTTTGAGACAAAACTCAAAGTTATTCAAACAAAGTAGCTGCAATCACTTTTCTTCCCTGCTAGTTGTTAAGCTGCCATTCTGTTTTAACCAACAGCAACTAGAGGACCACAAGACCATGTTCCCTACTTGTCCCATGTGAATTAGGAAAACTCACACTGCAGAATCATATCTGTGGGGAGAGGCATGTTGTTATAGAAATGTAAACTCTTAAAAAATAAAATGCAAGGTGGGAAAAAAAACTAAGTTCTGCTTGTTTTTAGGGTGATTTAGAACCACTAGTCTGCAATGAAGACTTTTAGAAAAGCCAGTGCACATATATTATCATGTTGCCCAAATTTTTAAAAGACATTCTTAAAGATCAAGTATATACACGTTGAGCATCTACACTGAAAAAAGAACAGACGGCCCTAACTCTGTGCCAGGCCTGGTGAGAGAAAAAGAACACCCTCTGAGTGCAGCAAGTCAATGAAAAAGAGGCCCGGCCATCAGCTCTACTGTTCAATGCAAACTTCAAGGGAATGGTTCAAGAAAACAGAAGGAAAAGAAGATCCAGGCTCACCTGTCCAGGATGTACTGGAGGGTCTCTGCTATGCCGGCCTGCTCCTCTCCAATGAGAGATGGCTGGAAGATAATTTCTGGAGCTCGAATTCTTTCTGTCCCAACAAACAGCTGATGATATGCTGCCAAGTTAAACACGGGCTTTAAAAACCCAAGGTTTAGAAGATATTTTTAGGCCAGAAGAACAAACATCCCAGGTGCCAGCTTCCTAAAACTGCATTTCTCATTCCATTATAGCTTTGTTCGTGCCAGAATAACCTCTCCCCCGACTCTCCTGATGTGATGATTCCATTTTTCTACCTTCTTTAACCTCTGGATGATAAACTGCTACACATCTGCATCATGAAATGATCCGTGAGATGCAGGAAAGAGACTGGGTGGAGAGCAGCAGCAGCAAGGCTGGCACTGGGAGACCAAGTCTCCGCCAGCACCTGGCTCGGCGCCCAGTCCCTGCACAGCCAAGACCGCCTTCTCCCAGGTGTCTCAGCCTCACGTCTGTGGTTGCCACGGTGGTTCAAGAAAACAGAAGGAAAAGAAGGTCAACCACCTGGTTGCCACGGTGATGGCAGAAACATGGACCCAGATGATGATGAAACATCATAACACTGGCTTCAATTTAAATAAAAGCATTAAAAGCTACTCTTTGGGTCTCAAAGTCCCTGGCTACTGGTCCAAATGCTCCCACCAAGCAGACTATTTCTCACAGTTTCAGAGTCAGTGCTGGAACCCCAATCAATCACCGAGGAGGAAAAAGTCCCTGACCCTACAAGCTTTCAGAGCTGGTACTCGCCCTTCTAGAAAACTACAACTGGGACTTGCAGCTGGAGGGGGGAACATTCCTAAAGGAGGAGACTAGACCTGACTGGTCATTCACGCCAAGCTTCAAAGTATAAGCAAGGTCGAGGCTACAGGAGGCCAACCTGGACTGTGGCCACTGGCTTCTCCACTTCCGGCGTCTCCTCCGAAAACAGGGGCTCGAAATCGTTGATGTTTTCCACGTCTTCCAGAGACGGCTCTAGTTGCTCCAGGTCAGGAGTCTGAGAAGAGAAGAAACACAACAAGATAGAACCTGTGATTTAGCAAGCCTTAGCTCTGTGAGTTCACGGTCACCAAAAAGAACTGGGATCTCACCCAATGTCCTGAAAGTATGTCCATACATAAAAACAATGAAAATTTTTCTAAACTATTGGAAAAAAAAAACCTGAACACACGTGAACACAAGGTTAAAAGACTAAAAAAGCCAGAGATGGATTTTGTTCATACCCCCTATCTTCCCCACTGAGACCAGTCTCATCAACTCCCACCTTCTCTGAAGCCTTCGGAAGGGGCCACTCAAGTCTGCCACCCCAGAGAGGACTGTCCCACAGAGACTCCAGAGATGAGGGGCTCAGGATCCAGCTGGTCACCTCCCTAAGCTCGGTCCACGCTGCCTCTCACTCCAGCCGCAGTGACTGGACAGAATCTGGACTGACTGCTCGGATCGGACTCTCAGCTGCGCCGCTTCTAGCTGTTGACCTTGGGCACATTTCTCCCCTCGTCTCAATCTCAGTTTCCTTATTTATCAAATGGGAATGAAGACAGCACTTGCGGAATGGCGAAAACTAATCAGGACACTTGCACGGCGCGCCTGGCACAGGCCCCGTGTCCTGTTCTCGCCAGAAACCGGCGCTCCTGGGTGGCGCCGGCTCCTTGGTCCGACCTTGGGCGTCTGTCCTCCTCCACCCCCACGGCCACAGACAAGCTTCAGGGCGCACTGGCTCCCTCCTGGGTGGAGCCATCCCATTTTTATCCTGTCTTCCCCGCTCTGGTCTTGCCTCTCCCTAAATCCATCATCCTGCCACCAGTTATTTTCCTAAAATAAAATCTCCTCAGATTATGCCTTGCTCAGCACACTCTGAAGGCTCTGTCTGAAGGATACTATTCGGGCTGACGGATACAGACTGTTTCAGGCGGCCACGGCCTCCCTTCCGGCTTCGTCTCCCACACTCTCCACGCGGGATGGGCCCTGCTCCCTGCATGTACACTTCTTTCCATATAAAATGTCCTTCCCTCCTCATCTGGTATCTACTGAAATCAGGGCCCAGCTCAAACATCCCAGTCCTTTCTCATAACTCCATCTGAGGACTTCCCTGGTGGTCCAATGGTTAGGCACCTGCCTTGCAACTCAGGGGATGTGGGTTCCATCCTTGGTCAAGGAACTAAGATCCCACATGCCGCAGGGCAACAAAGCCCCTGCAACCACAACTAGAGATCCTGTATCCTGGCAGCTAAAACCCAATGCAGCCAAAGAAGTAAGTATTTTAAAAAACAAACAAAAAAACAAACCTGCATCTGCATTCCCACAGACATCTATTAACAGCATCACATTTGATAAAGGTTATTACAGTCTGGGGCTTCCCTGGTGGCTCAGACGGTAAAGAATCTGCCTACAGTTTGGGAGACCTGGGTTTGATCCCTGGGTCGGGAAGATCCCTTAGAGACAGGCATGGCAACCCACTCCAGTATTCTTGACTGGAGAATCCCCATGCATAGCATATTACAGTCCTGAGTGTGGTTCTAGAGCCCTAGGTTCTGAGGTACTGAGGAAGGAAAGGATTGTATCTCAGTCACCTCTGTGCCCCTGGCCCCTGGCAATCACGCCTAGCACTGAGTGGTGAGTCCCCAGGATACACCCTTAGATTTCTCTAGAATAAAGAGGACTATAAAATGTCTGGGTTTTAAAGGCTTTTTCTGTATTACTATCCATTTTCATATCTAATTATATTCAAAAGTAGTCACCTTAAAAACAAGATTTCTTAGCTTCACCAAAAATTGTAAAAACAACAACAACAACAACAAAAAACCTTTTCCTTGTCCTGATTCATATGATTCAAAGCTGGTAATGTCAATGCAACAACAGGCATCCCAGAGATAACTGATTTCTCTACTATGGCTGGCTTCTCTCCCTCTTAGGGTTTGCCAGGGTGTACTGGGTGACAACTAGGAACATATATATAGGCTGTTCTTTGGGAACCAAACAGAACAACAGTTTGCCAAGGCCCGTCAGAGAAGATGCAGTGTGATTCCCCAGAACAGCCTTAAGCAGCAGAAAAACAGAGACCAGTTCAATCTTGATTTCTCAGGTAAAAGAACTTTCTATCTTTGGCCACTATGCTTTCCAACAAAGAAGGGTGCTAGTGAGCTGCACTCCCAACCATTTGCAGTGATGGAAAGTGAGCATCTTTTAAATACTCCATGAAGAATGCTAGTAGGACTTCCTTGGTGGTTCAGTGGTAAAGAATCTACCTCCCAATGCAGAGGACACAGTTTGATCCCTGGTCCCAGAAGACTCCACATGCCCTGGGGCTGTGTGCCACAACCAGAGAGTCTGTGTGATGCAGTGAAGATCCTAAGTGCTGCAGCTAAGACCCAGGGCTGCCAAATAAACAAACATTAAAAACAAGAATGCTAACAAAGCCTACTCCTTTACAATATCCTCACTGAATACCTGCAGTGAGGGATGAAATGGATTGGTCTGTAAGAAAAAACGGATTTTTAGAACACACTGGAAGTTAAAAAATTTAACTGTATGAATCCAATGTAACTTTTACCGCTTAGATGGCATTTCAGTATGAACTGTGGTCCACACAGATTTGTTCTCTCCACTGTAAAGGAACTATACAGTTGGAAAATACAATACTTTTTGAAAGGTAGAACTGGTTGGCCAGTGTTGTGGCCAAATTTAGCCCATGAATGTTACTGTAATTGATCTAATCTTTAACAATCTCCCTGACTGACCATTAAGGCTTTGGGACAGACGGATTCATCAGATCTGTTGTACTACATAGGGGAACCTTTTAAAGTCCAACAATTCAAAATCTCCCCAAGCCCAGAGAGGTTTGAACATGTACCCTCAGGTCACAGGAAAAAGTAGGGACTTAGTAAGTACCTGCTGAATGAATGAAGAGAGTGACTGAAGCAGGGCATATAACAAACACAGAAAAATGAACAAAGAAAAGGAAAAACTAGCTCCCCAACTGCTTGGGAATCACATCTTCACAGTTATTTGATTTCTTTTCTTTTTAAATCTGAAATCCTCCACGTGCATGTAGCTCAGTGGTTCATCTCTGATATAAAGATGCTGATACCCTGTGGACATGTTGATAAGCATGAATAGTAAGTACAGATAAACAAACAAGAAAGGCAATGTGAACAGAGGATCTGATGGTTGGATGGCACCATCAACTCAATGAACATGAGTCTGAGCAAACGCCGGGAGGGAGTGAAGGACAGGGAAGCCTGGCGTGCTGCAGTCCATGGGGCCACAAAGAGTTGGTCACAACTGAGCGACTGAACAACAACAGCAACAATGTGGATCCGGATCCCAGTCACCAACGGCTCAAACCTGAAACACAGATCTGGAAAGTGGGAGGCACGCTGGTTCTCCTAAAGCTGATCTGGGATGCTGTGCGAGACTAAGACGGAGGTCAAGGCCCCTTCAACCCCGATCTCAGTGACCCAGTATGCTGTGTCTAGGAAGTCTGACTCAGGATCTGCTCGGTCAAACATGCATGCTCACAGCCAGTCACTGTCCTCATGTGATCTACAGCCTGTCTGAGAGGTGGGGAAGGGGAGGCTGAGATCAGGAACCATGAGAGCTGGCCTCCAGCTGAGACAGTGCCTGCAAAAGCAGGCTGCCTGCTGAGCCAAGGACAGCTCTGAGGCCCCTGATCAGCAGCAGACTACATACACCCAGCGGCAAACTGAAACTTTCCACAGGACTGTTTCTTTTGAAAAGTAAAGGCTTTAGAATTTAAAGTTGACTTGAAAACAAAGATCAATAGCTGGACTGGCTAACCCTGCCCCGGAAGTATCACAAGGCAATGAATAAGTACCTTTATTTTAGAACTCCAGAGATGACAGATCCAGCAACAAGGCATCCACCTACTATCACTTTTGTCCAATTCTAGAGAAAGTGAGACAACCAGAGACCTGTGACCTGCAGGCAGCCCCTTCCACACGAGCCCAGTGCTAGGGTTTGATTTACCCAGGGCCCTATCTCAGCCCCATGCACCCACCCGCCCTTTCAGCCACATGAATACTTATTCACAGTCCATGGGCAGGGAAACAAAAAGGAGACTGAGAAGATCAAAGAGTTAGTTTTAGTAACTAACAAAAGGCTGGTTTTTAATCAACCCACAAATATCTTTTCAAGGTTTTAAAAATAACACTTATTTCTTAAAAGTTAACATGTGCATAATAGGAAATCAAAAAACACAAGAAGCAAAAAACAACATCACTCATAATCACAAGTCGTTTACCATCTGATGTGTCCTTCTGGGTCTCACTTGTATATTTCCTATTGAACACGTCTACTAACGCCTGTAAAAAAATTCTCAGACTATGTGTGAAGTGTGATCCCTGTCCTAGGGAACACTGACATGGAAAGGTGATGAATGAAAGAGTAGTCACAATATATTTAATAAGAGATCAGAAGAAAGTTGAGGCATGTATGATGATCCAGGAACCATCAGTGGGGCAGGCTCACACTCAACATGGGCCACACGATTGGTGTGCACCATGTTCTTGCTTTTCTACTCACACACTTCCCCCTCCCAGGGGGCCAGAGCTCTACCGGGTAAAGCCCCTCAGGTCAGCACTCCAGTTGGTACAAGGTCAGTGCCATCCCTGCCCCCATCTGTGCCCCCAGACACATCAAACACCATTCTGTTCTCTTTGCCACTCTAGTCTGGTCACAACCCATTTGTCATCAGCCTTTCCTGGACATTCCTCTGTCCTCAGAAAGGGCTATCCTCTCTAACAACCCCTGGAGACCTTCCTCCCGAGGCCCCAGTACCTCTGGCTTGCTGTCCACCACGTCCACCTCAAGGCTGACTTCTGCTTGAAGGATCTTCTGCTTCGCCTGCTCCACTGCGGCACTGAGCTTCTGGATGTAGGACTGCAGCTCCTCCGGGGAGTCCATGTTCAGCTCTATCAGGGCCTTGTGAAACTGATCCATCTGGCCGTCCTCCAGAAGCTCCTGCAAGCAGAGCAGTCACAACCCATCCTCAAAGATGCGCATCGGGGCAATCACGCCCGGGAAAGAGAGAAGGAACTCAGAAGCTGGATGGACAGGAAGAACGGCTGGCGAGGGCTCCCCGAGCCTGCCCCTCCACGCAGCCTGTCCCATGAAGCTTCGCGCCGTGGCCCTCCTCCCCAGCCATCTCTGGGCTCCCACGCATCACCGTCTCAGCACCACCTGAGCAGCCAACACTCATCTATGCGGACAGATGTCAGAAATGTGAGCTTCTGGGAGGGACAAAGGTGGGAGAGTTGCTAACAGGAGACTAAGGGAGGTTCCTGGGCTGCTGGTAGTGCTGTATTTCTTGATCTGGACGTGGCTACGTGGTGTATTTCAGTGGTGAAAATTCACTCAGCTGGACCCTTAAGATTTGTGCGCTCTGCATTATGTGTGCCACACTTAAGCCAAGAAGTTAAAATCAATCAAAGGGGACTATAAGGATAAACTACATCATCAAGGCCAAGTGCACAGCTCTTTCAGAAATTCCTGCTGCTACAACGTCCTCCACACACGTGATCTCTACATGGATGATCCCGCTAGACTCCTCCTTGACCTCAGGGCGGGGGGGACTGAGATGGCTGATGCGTTTCATGGCTGGGGCAGAATCTACAGGAAGAACAAGGCGGGGACCTACCCAGGGGTCTGCATCACCTGCACATAGAGCAGCCGGTCCAGCCGCTCCTGATCCAGCTGCAGCTTCTCCTCCCGCCGCCGGGCATTGAGCTCCTGCAGCCGCCGCAGCTGCTGCTGCCGCCGCTCCTGCTTCTCCTCAGAGGTCAGGGTGCTGCCCAGGAGCTTGCTGGAAAACGGCAGCTGCATCTTGTGCACGTTGTTCTCATAGTAATCGGGGCACCGCCATTTCTGCAGCTCTTCAAAGGAAGTGTTTCGGAAGTTAGGAGATGGAACACCATTAGCCCTGAGATTAGCAAGCTGGGACCAGGGTTCCAGGTGCAAGGGAAGATGGAGGAAGCATGCTCCCCCCATTTCTGAACCCACCCAATTGACAAAATGCAGCAGTAAGACCTGGACACGATGCCAACACACCTGCTCTGAGAAAACTGGTAAATAAAGCTTTTCAGATGGAAAGGATATCACCTGGAGCACCAGAAATGAAGGAAATGCAACTGAAATGCTGAACAGACTAGATTAACCTCCTCTGGAATTCTTTAAAATATGTTTGACAATTCAAAGTAAAAACCATGACAATGTCTGATGGGCTTCCCACGGATGTAGATGTGACATGGAAGACAAGTCCGACACAAAGGAGGAAGGACATGGGGGTCTCTGGAGTGCTAACATCTCCAGGTTCCACTTGAAGTGGCGAGAAAGAGACCCTAAGACTGACAAGCCTGTTAACTGTCATCTCTTGAGCAACCACTAAAACAAAAAACCTACACAAGAGAGACTGGTGAAAAACACAATAGATAAATTAAAATGGAATGCCAAAAAACTGGTGGACCTAAACCCAGACACAAGAGGGATTACATTCACTGTAAATGGTCTTAACTTATCAGTTAAAAGATAGAGACTGAAAGAAGGGATTTTCAAGGAAAGGACCTGTTAGAAAATTTGCTTTGTTTTTTTTTTTTTTTTAAAGCTATTTTATTTTTAGGCTGAAAAAATTCGGCATGTGGGATCTTAGTTCCCCAACCAGGGATCAAACCCATGCCCCCTGCATTGGGAGTGCAGAGTCTTAACCACTGGACCACCAGGGAAGTCCCAGAAAACTTGCTTTGAATATAATGTTTTACATAGACTAAAAGGCCAGGAAAAAAAACCACCACATAAGCACCAATCAAAAGAAAGCTCAAGTGGCTATACTAAATCCAAGCAGACTTCAAAGCAAAGAAAATTGCAAGGGATAAAAAAGAACATTATATAATGGTAAAAGATCAATTTGCCAAGATTTAAAAAAGGATGACTACATAAAAGACCAATTTGCCAAGAAAACATAAGAATCCTAAATGTGTACCTAACAAAAGAGCTTCAGATACTTGAAAGCAAAAACTGACAGAACTGAAAGGAGAAATAGGAAAATTCACAATTCTCCCTGGAGATTTCAACACTCTTAATAATCAGTAATAAATAATCGGTACAGCTTGTTGGACAATGAAGCTGGGTTGACAAAAACTGAACAAAACCAAAAACCAGCACAACCCGAATGACATCACAGACTACTCCATCCAACAACAGCAGGACATACATCCTTTGCAATTGTATATGGAACATTCACCAAAACAAACCAGGCCTGGGTCCTAAACCAAACCTTCACAAATTTAACTGATACCAGGGAAAAGAAGTTCTTTGACTATGATAGAATTAAAGTAGATATAAACCACAGAAAAATAACTGGAAAGTCTCCAACACTTGGCTATATTCTAAATAATCAATGGTTGCAAATAAAAAAGGCTTGAGGGAAACTTATGAAAATACACCATATCAAAATCTATGGAATATAGATAAAGGACTGCTGAGAGGGAAATTCAAGCTTTAAATGTCTATATTAGAAAGAAGTTATGATAAAAATCTAAGCTTCTACCTCAAGAAACTAGGGAAAAAGGGCAAAGTAAACCTAAAGCAAGTAGAAAGGAAGAAATAATAAAAAGAAGACATCAATGAAATTGATGAAACTTACACTGACATCTATTAAAGAAATTAAATTCCTTCAGAAAAATAAATCCCCCAGGCTCAAACAGTTCTGCTGCAGAATTCTAACAAACATTTAAAAAAAAAAAAAAACAACTATTTACTTAATCTTTTCCAAAAAGTAGAAGAAAACACTTTTCAGCTCATTTAGTAAGACCAGCATTGCCATGATCCCAAAACAAGACAAAGAGAGTAGAAGAAAACTGCAGATCAATATACCTTATGAATACTGACACAAATACTTCACAAAATTTACCAAATTAAATCCAGCAATATATAAAAAATAACACATAGAAACAAGCAGGGTTCAAGGCCAGTTCAGTATCTGAAAAGCAATCCTTATACTCTCTTAAATGAACAGTTCAAAGCACAAACACCATAGGATCACATGAGACGCAGAAAAAGCATTTCACAAAATTCAAAGATCCATTCACGATAAAAATGATCAGCAAAACTTGGAACAGAGAGGAAATTCCTCAATTTGACAAAGAGTAAAAACTCACTGTATTTCATAAAAATTCACTGCATTTCTATACAATAGCAATGAGCAATTGGAAACTGAAACTTAAAATAAGGAAAGAAATAATTTAGGCATAAATCTAATAAAACATGTACAGGATCTATAGGCTGAGAACTATAAAATGCTGATGAAGGAAATGAACAAAGACCTAAATAAATGGAAAGATACATTATGTTCATGGATTAGAAGCCTCAACATAGTAAAAAATGTCACTTCTCCCCAATCTGGATTTAGCATATCTAGAAGGTTGCTGTTTTATATACAAACCAATCTACACATTTAATGTTCTTTCAATCACATCCCAACAGAACTTTTGGTAGATATGGACAAACTGACCCTATCATTTAAATGAACAGGCAAAGGAACTAGAATAACCAAAAGGATTGTGAAAAAGAACCAATATATTAGACTTATCACTTAACTGAGAAGTTTTTGAGGAAAGTAAATACCAAAAAATGGAAGAGGATGCTAAAAAGTATTAAGTGCAAAAAGGTGGGCAAAAAGGGAATTCCCTGGGGGTCCTGGGGTTAGGACTCTGCGCTTTCACTGCAGGGGGCACGGGTTCCATCCGTGGCTGGGGGAAGATCCTGCACACCACGCCTTGTGACCAAAAAAAGCCTGTTAAGAGTGAGCAGGAAAGTCACCATGGGAACAAATTTAAGGAACACCCCCAAAGGCAGACAACACTCGGAAGCTGCAGGCAGACATCCTCTTCCTACCTTCCACGTAATCCTCGGCGATGTAGCTGTGCTCGTGGAGGATCTCCTCCATGCGGCTGAGAGTGATGGCGGCCAGGTGCCCGGGATACTTCAGCTGCAGGAGACGCTGGAGGTAGCCAGCTGCCTGGCTTCCTCCCAGGTTGATGCGCTTGCAGTTTCTAGCATCTAACCTACAACCGAGAAGTGGAAATAGCACTGAAACTTTGGCAATGTGGAGAAAAAAATATGGAGCAGGTGGACAAGGGGGGATGATAATTTAATGTAGACTAATGAGGAAGAAACTGACTGGTAGGGGAAAATAAAACAGTTGGAAGGGACTTTAAGTTGCCTTAGTGCAACCTCTGATCCAATGCAGGCATTCCTAGACCACGTCCTGACAGACACACGAACATTTAACTTCTGGTAGGAGTCTCAGAAGGAAACCAGGTTCAAAGCAAAGAACGTGCTCTCGGAAGTCAGACCCTCATGTGACTTGTCATGTATTTCTCAAACTGTGGTTCCAAGGCCACGCATCCTGGAATTAACTGGGGATAACGTTTAAGGCGACAATGCCCAAGACCTGTCTGCTCCGGGGAGGGCCTAGGGATATGCACTTTTTCTTTTTCAGCAGTGCCACACGGCATGTGTGATCTTAGTTCCTCAACCAGGGATCAAACCTAAACCCTCTGCAGTGGAAACTCAGAGTCTTAACTACTGACTGCCAGTGAAGTTCTGGGGATATGCATTTTGACAAGCTTCCCGGGTAGCTCCAGTGTACCCCTCCCCTAGACACTCCACTTCTACTTATGCAAACACGTTAAGTAACCACATACACACCAGCTTACCGTAATCTCCTAAGAGTACTAGGTTCCTCTCACTTGAAGTGAAGGAGAGGAGAACCAGAGTAACTTTATAAATTCTCAGTGTGAGAAAGGGAGAGGAGCTGGGCTCTAGGAACTTGCTGTGCACTGAAATGATGCCGCTATATCACACCTCACCAGCAGGTGCCAGCATAGAACAGGACATGCTCCAATCTGCTCCTAGCTTCCAGGTCAAATCATTTTCTCTCAATATAAGATAACAATATTATTTTTAATTTCAGCATATGCTGGTTACATAAGGTAGAAAATTCTGTATAGCAGGAGTGTTTTGGAATGCCTAACGATTGCCTTTTTCTTCATAAATGTTTGTACAAACTTCAAGAGAAATTCCCACAATAGGGCTCAATAAATTCATCAACCTCTATTTTCACTTAAATATTCAGATTGTTTTACAAAGTGCCATCTCCTACATTATCTCATTTCATTCTCAGGGTAACCCTGAGAAATCAGTTTTTCCCAAGTTTATATGTTAGGAAACCAAGTGAAGAAGTTAAGTACCTCATCCTTAGCAGGGCTGCAAACCCAGGCTTTCAACTCCTTTCCCTATTTACACTCTCTCTATGCAAAGAGAAACCTTCTCAGGAGAGCATGATGCTGACCTAGTCTCTCTCTTCCTTTTACTTTTTAAATGAAGCACAACTGATTTACAATATTTCAGGTATCTAGCAAAGTGATTCAGTTATATATAACATATGTATATATGTATACTTTTTCAGATTTTTTTTCCACTGGGCTTCCCTGGTGGCTCAGATGCAAAGAATCTGCCTGAAATGTGGGAGACCTAGGTTGAATCCCTGGGTTGGGACGATCCCCTGGAGGAGAGCATGGCAATTCACTCCAATATTCTTGGCTGGAGAATCCCCATGGACAGAGGAGCCTGGTGGGCTACAGTCCATGGGGTCACAGAGTCGGACATGACTGAGTGACTAAGCACTGCACATATATATACTTTTTCAGATTCTTTTCCATTGTAGGCAATTACAAGATACTGAATATAATTTTGTGTCCTACACAATAGGTCCCTGTAGTTTATCTGTTTTATATATATTGGTGTGTCTCTGATAATCCCCAATTCCCTATTTATCCTTCCCTTCCTGGCCTAGTCTCTTTGAAGTAAAAGTGAAAGTTGCTCAGTTGGGTCCAACTCTTTGCGACCCCATGGAGTATATAGTCCATGGAATTCTCCAGACCAGAACACTGGAGTAGGTAGTCTTTCCCTTCCCCAGGGGATCTTCCCAACCCAGTGATTGAACCCAGGTCTCCCAAAGGGCAGGTGGATTCTTTACCAGCTGAGCCACAAGGGAAGTCCAAGCATGCTGGAGTGGGTAGCCTATCCCTTCTCCAGGGGATCTTCCCAACCCAGGAAAGGAACCAGGGTCTCCTGCATTGCAGAGGGATTCTTTACCAACTGAGCTATCAGGGAAACCCCCTGGCCTAGTCTCTTTAACAGACAATAAGAGCCCAACTATAAAATAAGAACACACTTTAAACATGACAGAAACTACCCTCAACTTTTAAACAACTTGGAAAAATAATCTACTACATATTTATTAAGTACCATACTTGAAAAGGTCTAAATAATTGTCATTAAAGAGCTTTAAATAAAAAAGCAAAATAGCACTTAATAAAAAAAAAAAGTGACTCCATAATACAACAGTCTAAATTAAATTTATTTAAACAATTTACTCATAACATTTTTATTGAGTGCCTACTACCTACAGGTATTTGTGTTAAACTATCTATTTCACTCTAAATCAAAATCATACAATTCTAGAATTACAGATTTGTACCTCAGAGACCATCGACCCCGACCCAAGCCAGGAGGTCACAAGGACAGATGGTGAAGTGACATATCTATACTCACACAGTGAGGGAGGTCAGAGTTAAGCCCAGAGGTCAGTTCATGGTCCTGTACCTGCTCTTTCCACTCTACCTTTACAGTAAGCACCCAATAAAAGTTTCCTGAATGCTTCTCAAAACAGTACTCAAATGCCATAAGTACAACTCACCTCCCTTCTAAGATGGGTAAAATATGTGTACACTGATAACCAGACGAAATGATGAGCCCACTTGAAATCATGTTCTTTGGGTTATTGTGGTAGAAGCTGAAGAGGCTGTCTATCCCATAGGCAACCTTAGGGATCCCGTAGCACTCAAAGAGAAGTTCAGACATCATCTGTCGTGAATACAGTGGGGTGCACACGGCTTCTGTCAAAACTATGGGATGATCAACACAGCCCTACTTTGAAAGAAAAGAGCAAACTGTTAGGTGCTAAGAGGATACACTTTTCAAAGCATAAAAAGAAACAAAAATCCTTATTGCAAGGGCTGAATTGGCTCTTGGTCTCTAATCAAAACACCTGATCAGAAGCAACTGAGTAACACCCCTCCTTCCCTGGAAGTTTCTTTGGAAAATATGAAAGTAGGGTCACTCGTGGCCGACTCTTTGTGACACCACGGACTGTAGCCCAACAGGCTCCTCTGTCCATGGGATTTTCCAGGCAAGAATACTGGAGTAGGTTGCCATTTCCTTCTCCAGGGAATCTTCCTAGGGATCGAACCTGGATCTCCTGCATTGCAGGCAGATTCTTTACCATCTGAGCCACCAATGCTCACAGTAACTTAAGTCAGTTCAGTTCAGTTCAGTCCAGTTACTCAGTCATGTCCAACTCTTTGCAACGCCATGGACTGCAGCACACCAGGCTTCCCTGTCCATCACCAACTCCCAGAGTTTGCTCAAACTCATGTCCATCAAGTCAGTGATGCTATCCAATCATCTCATCATCTGTTGTCCCCTTCTCCTCCTGCCTTCGATTTTTCCCAACATCAGGGTCTTTTCCAATGAGTCAGTTCTTCGCATTGGGTGGCCAAAGTATTGGAGTTTCAATTTCAGTATCAGTCCTTCCAGTGAATATTCAGGACTGATTTCCTTTAAGATTGACTGGTTTGATCTCCTTGCAGTCCAAGGGACTCTCAAGAGTCTTCCCCAACACCACAGTCCAAAAGCATCAATTCTCCAGTGCTCAGCTTTCTTTACAGTCCAACTCTCACATCCAAACATGACTAATGGAAAAACCGTAGCTTTGACTAGATGGACCTTTGTCGGCAAAGTAATGTCTTTGCTTTTTCACATGCTGTCTAGGTTGGTCACAGCTTTTCTTCCGAGAAGCAAGCATCTTTTAATTTCATGGCTGCATTGTCAATTGAAGTCAGGCCCCATCCAAACTGTGAGCCAATCATCTTTAAAACAGCTCCAGAATCCAACTGCTTCTTACCACATCCGCCATCCCTTTCTCATCTAAGTTACCACCATCCCTCACCTTGGAACTGCAACAGCCTCCTACTGATTTCCCTATTTCTACCCTGACTCAGGCCAGTTCATTTTCCATATAGCAGCTATAGTGATTCTTTTGAAACAAAAGTCACATCCCTCTTTTGTTCAACACCCTGCAATGCCTCACCATTCCACTCATAATAAAAGCCTACAAAGTGTGTGACCTCTCTGACTTCTACTTCTACTTACTGAAGTGAAGTTGCTCAGTCGTGTAGAACTTTTTACAACCCCATGGACTGTAGCCCACCAGGCTCCTCCATCCATGGAATTTTCCAGGCAAGAGTACTGGAGTGGGCTGCCATTTCCTTCTCTAGGGAATCTTCCTGACCTAAGGATCCTACCCAGGTCTCCCTCATTGCAGGCAGATGCTTTACTGTCTGAGCCACCTTATTGTAAGTAAGACCGTCTACTTACTACTTTCCCCTCACTCTGACTATCCTCAATTAGGGTTAGGGCAAACTCTTGCCTCAGGGCCTTTTCACTGGCCGTTCTGTCTCTCAAGATTACTATTCATTCAGATATTCACAAGGCTTGCTCCCTCAATCGTCTACTTTAGTCCTTGCTCAAAACACCACAGTCACCTTGAGTCCTCTCCCTACCCGTCTTACTGAAAAGCTGTAACCCTTTCCTCTCCATCATGCCGTAGAATCTACTGCTTAATTCTACTGTTTATTATCTCTCTTTTCATACTAGAACGTCTTTCCATACTAGCTCCATAGGCACAGGGGATTTCGTGTTATGTTCCCAGACATATTTCAAACCGTAGAAAAGTCCCTATTGAGAGTAGGTGCTCAACACATATCTGTTAATAAATAAATGCACTAACAAACAAACCAAACAGATGCTCCAAGAGAAAGGGGCGTTATTTTGTTCACTGGCATACCCCAACCGCCTAGCATAGGACTTACTACATAGGTTAGGCGTTTAATGTTTGATTGACTGACTAAATGAATGACTAAATGACAACTGCAGCGACTACCATCTCTCGGAGAGCGGAGTGACACGGGACACGACCGCACCCCTCTCCTCAGTCCTAAGCCCACCTCGCCCGTCACCTGTGAGGAGACACCCAGATGCTGGAAGCTGTAATCAAGCAGCAACTCCTGAAGCTCCAGGTTCACCGGCACGTTGCGGTCGAAGGGCGATCGCAGCATCCAGCGCAGCGGCTCCAAGCTGCCCAGCGCGTTCCCCACCTGCGGGCCCGCCCCGCCCCGAGCCCCACCCCGCCCGCGGGCGCACACGGCGCGGAACTGCAGCCGGGGCTCGGGGCCCGGGTCCGGCCCGGGGCACGCCCAGCCTGCGCGGGCCTGGAACGACCCATTGTCCAGCACCAGTGGCACCGGCAGTGACCCGTGTGCCACCGGGCCGGCCTCCAGTACCGGATCTGGCGCTGCGCGGGCATCGCGGAAAGGAAACACGTTCGTGGCCAGGCCGGCTGCCGTGGCCGCCGCCATCTTGAAGCGCTGCTGGCTCCGCCCCTCGCCGCGGCGTCAACCTATTACGGCACGAGACTCCGCTCCCGACGCAGCGTCCGCCCGTGCGGCGCGAGACTCCGCCTTCGCACAGATCCGCGGTGCCTCCAAACGTTGAGTGTTGCTGTGTTTTAATCTCAGCCGACGTTTTCACCAAACTCACCCTCGGTATCCCAGGCCGCCTACGGGGATCCCTAGGCCACGCCCACCCTGGCTGTGGTTTAACCTTGCTCTCAACATTCGACCTGACTACTCCCCTTCGCGCTAGCCGGGACTCAGGCCAGCAAACCCCGCACCGAATGCGTGAAGTCATCGGTCCCCGCCTGTTCCTTGCCTCCCAAACTGAGCTGAGCTCCGCCGGGCCCCAGGTTTCCGCCTAGCCACGCCCTGTTTGCCTTCTGTCACTTTCCCTCTCCGTAGACTCCTCCCCACGTGATAACTTTGCCTTCAGTCAAGGAAACAAACTCGGGATTAGCAGTCAGCTCGATTTCTTGACGAAGGAGTTCGCTACTCAGACGTGTTCATTTTGTGAAAATTCATCAGGCCGTTCACTTACGATTTGTGCACTTCTCTGTACGTATGTTCGAAACGTGGTGGCTCAGACGGTAAAGAATCTGACTGCAATGCAGGAGACCGAGGTTTGATCCCTGGGTCGGGAAGATCCCCTGGGGAAGGAGCTGGCAACCCACTCCAGTATTCTTGCCTGGAGAATACCCCGGACAGAGCAGCTTGGCGGGCCACAGTCTGTGGGGTCGCAAAGAGCCATACACAAATGAGCGACTCTTTTTTTTTGCACATATATTTTATAATACAATGTAAAGTTTCCCAGGTGGCGCTAGTGGTAAAGAACCCACCTGCCAATGCAGGATACCTAAGAGGGTTTGGATCCCTGGTTTGGGAAGATCCCGGTGAAGGAGGACATGGCAACCCACTCCAGTATTTTTGCCTGAAAAATCCCATGGACAGAGGAGCTTGGCGGGCTACAGTCCATTGGGTCGCAAAAGCCTGACACCACTGAAGTGACTTAGCACATAGAGTTTTAAAATAGATTAACTTCCACAAGTCTATGGGACTTGTACCTTCTCACAAACCTCAAACACTGCAAAAAAAACTGCTAAATGTTACTTAATATGTATATATTCTTTTTCTTTTTTGTAGTATGATTCCCCTACATGGTCCTCTAGCTTGTTGTGATCTTGTGACTCAGTTTTGGCCAATGGGGGGTGGGGGCAGGGAGGAATGGAGGTGATGTCATCTGCCCCCTCCTCAGTTTTAGCTGTAAAAAGACTGAGCTCACTCTCCCCTGCCCCATTTCCCCCTTTCCACCAGGCAAGATAACAAGAATTAGAGCGCCTGCTTTGACTGTACCCTCCCAGCTCTGGAGCACTTAATTTTGAGAGATAAAAGCAAGTTAATTACGAAAGGCCCAGTTCAGTTGCTCAGTCGCGTGTGACTCTTTGCAACCTCATGGTTGCAGCACGCCAGGCTTCCCTGTTCATCACCAACTGGCGGAGCCTACTCAAACTCAGGCCCATCACGTCAGTTTGCCATCCAACCATCTCATCCTCTGTCGTCCCCTTCTCCTCCTGCCTTCAATCTTTCCCAGCATCAGGGTCTTTTCCACTGAATTGATTCTTTGCATCAGGTGGCCAAAGTATTGGAGTTTCAGCTTCAGCATCAGTCCTTCCAATGAATATTCAGGACTGATTTCCTTTAGGACTGACTGGTTGGATCTCCTTGGAGTCCAAAAGGTGGTTCTGTAATAAACATCCTTACGGAGAGATGAGACCCCAAACGTTCTCAGGAACCTCTAGGAACACTTCTAAGCCAAATAGGGAGCCAGTCTAGCAGCAAATCAGATGAAAGGTGTTGTTCCAACATGTCATGATCTCACATCTGAAGGAATCCATTATTAAACAGAGAAGCGGGGCAGAGCAGAACACAGAAGATATAAGTGAATGTAAATTCAAGTACTACACCTGTGTATACCAATATGGGAAAATCTCCAAGATACATTTTTAAAAGAAATGAGTGCAATTTATAGGAACTCCCTTTAAGAAAGGGTGGGGGGAGCATTGAAAATATATAGTGTTTTGCTTGTATTTTCATGTATTAATAGACAAGAAACTAAGAGTTTTCCTGTAAAGAAAAAGACAAGGTGAGTGGGTCAGGTGTGGGAGACTTTTTTCACCGCATACTTTTTCACATACTTTTGATTTTTTAGTCTTGTGAAAGTATTACTGTTCCAGGGGAAAAAAGAGCACTATGTATAAGCGAGGTAGATTGGATTATTGCTCCCAGTTCTTCACGCCTCTGTAATAGGATTATACATCCATACCATTTGCCATGTGACTCTGTTGGGCCTCTCTCACTGTGGACATTGATATTGAACTTGGCCGTGGGATTCACTTTTAGCCTATGGACTGTCAGCCAAATGTGATCTGAGCAGAGGCTTTGCGTGTGCCTGTGTGGCTTCGACTGCCCTCTTAGCATTACTCATGAGAAGAACACGCCCTGAGTCTAAAGAGGATGGGAGAGACACATAGAGCAGATCTAACACAAACTGCAGCCTGGAACCAATCCAGCCAACCTCCCTCCTAAAGTTGAGCTGTGCCCCTCTTCACTTCCTGACTGGTGTCCATGAAGCCTTGTTGACTCCCTTCTTTCCTCCGAAGCCCCTAGAGTGGGAAACATATGAGTTCCTGGGGGTAGGGCTTGTCATTTAATAAACACGTCCCTGATTAGCATCCTTCTATGTTTGGGAGGCAGGGGACCATCAAAAGCCCGCTTTTGAAATATGGAGGACCTGAAAGTAAAACACTAGAGAAAAGCAGTCTTTATCCACTGGGAAGGGAGGTGAAAGGATCCGGAGTGGCAGGGAGGCGAGAGGCATTGAGAATGCTGAAGGTGGAGAACCTTGTGAGCCCCGGCAGCTTTGCACTCTCAGCGCTAGGGGGCGCGGCAGAGCGGGCTCGGTACACAGGGGCGGCTTCCTCGCGAGCAGAAGGATCTTGGTGGTTCCCAAGCCACCCAGTCGGATGGCTGTCCGAAGAGCCCGGAGTCAGGGTTCGTCGTAAGAAGACAGGAACTGATGGGGGTAGGGGACGGAGGGGACGGGTCCTGGGGTGGATTCCCTTGCTTCTCAGTTCGACTCCCGAATGAACCTTGCTGGCCCTTTCTGCCTCGTTCGAATTCGTATTGCGAGCTCACAGCGGACCCCTGCAAAGAACTTAGCTCTCTTCAGCTTCCACCCATGCATTTTGCTGTTGGGGGTTGGGGGAGGCAGAGATGGGTCTCACCTTTTATTTCTCCCGTTGGCCTAAATGCAAGCCTTGGGGGTGGGTGTATTGCGCACGACGGGGCAGGGTTTCCCTTGGGGCGCCTAGGAACTTGTCTCTCCCGCCCCGGCCTTTCTGGGCCCAGGAGGGGGTCGGGGCGGGGGATGATTAGGGGTGGGGGTGACCCGGGCTCCAGGGAGCTGAGCGCAAAGCCCGGAGCTAGGATGCAGTGCAGCGGATCCCGGCGGGTCCGCGGAGGTAGCACCCGCTGTCCAGGGCGTGTTTAGTATCTCATTTGTCCTTTCAGAGACGGGAAGGACGGAGCTGGTGCAGCATGACTCTCGCACCTTCTCTTCCACTGCAGAAATCCGGGCTTTTTCTGAAGTCTATAGACCGAGCTCTGATTCAGAGAGCACCCAAGGGTGCGTGGACCCGCCGAGGAGCAGCGGAGACTTCCCCGGCGGGGACAAGCTTCTCCGGCCTGAGAGACGTCAGAAGGTGTAGGAGGACGGGAAACTGAGAATCCTCTGGCTAGAGGATTCCAGCTCTCGATAAGAGTGACAAAGGGGCATCGGGCGGATGATAGCAGGCATCTCAAATGCCCCGTTTAAATCGTCAGAGCCTCGGGCGGCCAAGGGAACCCAATTTTATCCCCCTTGCGCTCCCGCTCCCGTTGGGTGGCTGCGGAACCAGGGCAGTGCGCGGTCACCTCTGTTACAGGTACGTGCTCACGGATGGTCTGCACACCCAGGCAAGCACACACATTCATCAAGGCTCTTCACGGCCCCCGCCCCCCGGGATGTCAGGTGGGCTGCTGTCTCTCGCTCAGCGGCACACACTCACCCACGCCTGTCACAGCAGGCAGGGAGAAATGGCCGCCGTGCATTTGGCAGTACCCCCCTTCTTTACCCGTGCGCCCTTTGCTCCTGGAGAAATCGTTCTAAACAGGCCTCTGCCTTGATGGGAGAGACCAAAAACCTCTCACATGGCTTCCCTCTCAGTGAGAACGGCCCAGCCGTCCTGAGCACGCAGATCTCATCTGTAGAGGCTAACCACGACCCATTCCACCTTTCCCAAGACGGACGCCCATGGAGGCAACGCGAGGGCTGCGCCTGGAATAGGATCTGCACACAGAAAAGAACCGAATCCTCTGGGTATTTTAAGTAAACACATTCTCAGATAGGCTGCTCAAGAAAAGGAGAGGCTGGAACATAAAGCGCTGTGCTTGGTGAATCTAAAGAGTCTGATCTCTTCACTGTGGCTGTGTAAACTCCACACAGAGGGGACTGAAGGCGGATTCTGCAGGGTGAGAGATGTGTGGGAAGCCAGGTTGGTTCCCACCCTGGGAAATACACAAGAGCCCTGCTGATTTCCTTTACAGCCTGTAAGTCATATTGTGGATTTCAGAGTCCTTGTCAATTGCCCCAGTCTCCTCTTCTAGACTGTAAGTTCCAGGAGGGCAGGGCTGGGTTTGTTTCTCCAGGAAGCCAGCACAGCCCTCACCCCTGGTGAGCTGTCTTTCAATATTTGTTGAAAACCCAGTAGGGCTTTTGCTGTTGTTTAACTGCTAGGTGGTGTCTGACTCTTTGGGACCCCATGGACTGTAGCCCTCCAGGCTCCTCTGTCCATGGGATTTCCCAGTCAAGAATACTTGGAGTGGGTTGCCATTTCCTTCTCCAGGGGATCTTCCCCACCCAGGGATCCAGCCTGCCTCTCCTACATTGGCAGGTGAATTCTCTACCAATGAGCCACCAGGGAAGGGCTTTTGTACACAGGAAAAAAACTTAAAAAAAAAAAAAAAGAATTGGAAGTTGAGAGCATCCACCAAATTCTCAGACGGATCCAACTCCCGGGAAGAGATATGGGTTAAAAAAAAAAAAAAAAAAAGCCCTAGTCCTGGCGGCTGGGGACCAAGGTCACACGGAAACCGTGGGCGCACCGCCTGCTCCTTGGCCTGAATCCCCCAAGCACCTGGAGAGCCGCCCCCTCCTTTCCCGGGACGCTTTCTCTACAGCTGCCTCTCCGCCCCCAAAGGCTTCACCCGGAGGGCCAGAGCCCGGATTCCCGCGTTCGAAAATGCAGAACTGAGCCAGGGCCGCGAGCGCCTTTGTTTCTTCTTTATTTGCGGATATAATTATGCACCGCACTCTAAATTAGAGATAGATTTTTTTTCTGATATACATTTCACCTTATTCACCACGAGCACACCACACGCACAGTAGAACAGTTCCACAACCTGATAAATTGCGCAGGATGAGTTTGGATTCCTGAAAACCGCAGGCAAGCCAGCCCCGCCGCGGCTCCTCGCCTCTCCGCTTGGCTGAAGGAAATTCGCCCACCCGAAACGGATTTCCCGGCCAGCCTTTCCCGCTGCGGGGTTGAAATGTCTCTGGAATGGGAAGCGCTCTTGCTGGAAATGGCCGGACGCCGCAGATTCCGAGCACTGATGGCTGTGAAATGTCCCCCCCCAAGGTCAAGTTTCCGCTCCAGCGAGCTGCGCCCCCCTCTCCCTCCCTTCCCACCCCTCCCCTCGGTGACAGGGACCAAAGTGTCAGGGCCCCTACTGGAAGGACAGAAAACCTTGCCCGCGGATGCGCCCCCCGTCTCCCCCGAAACCAGGGTGTTTTGTGGAAAAGAAAGGACAACAGAAACGCAGACGCGATGGATGGTGGATCCCTAGCCCCTCCCACCCCCAACCCGCAGAATCAGAAACTAGGAACCAGAGATGTTGACAGCTTGGCTTCCCAAGCGCGGCGGCAGCGGGGCGCACGGGGTTGGTGGGGGTGGGGCGGGTGGGGAGCGAGGAGAGCGCGGGAGCTCGGTCGCGGCTCGCCCCCGCGGGCCCTAGTCCTCCGCGTTGGTTCGGTAGGCCTCAATGAGGCCCTCCAGAGAGTGCACGAAGCCGGACACGCTGCAGATGCCGCCGATGACGAAGATGGCGACGTCGAAGAAGACCTGGTGCCACAGCAGCTTGCGCCAGAGCAGGCGCAGGTGGAAGAGGCTGGGCAGCAGGAAGCAGAGGCCGGCGCCTGTGAGGCTGCCGGTGAGGCCCATGAGCAGCGCGAAGTGCGGCACGTAGATGGCCATGAGCAGCGTGAAGACCACCAGCGCGCAGCGCAGCGTCAGCCCCCACGACTTGAGGCGCCCGTCGCCGCCGTAGCAGGCGGGGAAGAAGGCGCGGCTGCCTTCCTGGAAAAGCGACTTCTCCAGCACCTCGACAGCAGCGAAGAAGGGCAAGGGGTAGGAGAGCAGCGCCTTGGCCACCAGGAATATGTTGACCACGGCGCGGATGGACCCGGGCAGGTTATCCGTGATGACCTCCTTGGTCTCATCGGCCCAGGTGAGGTAGGCGACGAGCGCGAAGAGGCCTTTGAGCACGCAGGCGGCGATGTGCGTCCAGTTCATCATGCAGTGGAACTCGCTCGGCTGCTGCATGTTGCCTTCCAGCGAAGGCAGGAAGATCTGCGACGTGTAGCTGAACACGATGATGCCGATGGAGATGGGAAACTTCTTGACGTCGATGTAGAACTTGACCTTCTCCCAGGCCCAATCGCGCGCCCGCGACAGGCAGTAGGCAATGACCAGAATGTTGATGACGAAGTGGGCCAACGTGCACAGCAGGCTGAACTTGGACACGGCCTTGAGGTTCTTAAGGAACGCGCAAGGCAGCAGCACCGCCGTGGCGATGATGGACCAAGACTTCTGCGACACGGGCAGCCCCGGAAAGCTGTTGTACATGAGGTTGCCGCTCACCACCACGTACAGGATGCAAGTCATCACCAGCTCGATGATCTGCGCCACGTTCACCACGCGGCCGCCCAGCGTGGGGAAGCGCGGGGCGCAGCAGGCGTTGGCAATGGCCACGTACGAGTCCCGCACGCGCACCACCTCGCCGTCCTCGTTCTCCTCGTACAGGCAGGCGATGAGGATCTTGCCGGTGTAGCAGCACACCACGGCGGCGAAGATAATAAGGAACAATCCCAGGTAGCCGCCGTGCAGGATGGCGTAGGGCAGGCCCAGCACGAACATGCCCTGCGGAGCGAAGAGGCAACCAGACCCGGGCGCTCAGAGGAGGCAGATCTCGGCGGAGGAGGGTCTAGGGGAGTGGGTTAAGGGTGTCGCTGGAAGGGCGCGCTAAGGAAGTGAGAACTGGGCCTAAGCCTCCGGGAGGAGAGGTTAAGGGTAGGCTGGAATGGGGGTGTAGAGCGGCCTAATGGGGAACGTGGATGTTGAGTAAGAGATGGCGAAGGACGGAACGGAGAAGGAGAGGCGTGCTTAGTGGCTGGAAAACAGACAGGGGGCTGGGGTAGGGGGAATTGGTTGTCAAGCTACAAAGAGGGAAGGGTACGAGGTGATATCTGGGGGCGATTCGGCAGATGGCGAGCAGGGGCTGGAGGGGGCGTGGCCGGAGAAGGGCAAGGAGAAAGGTAGAGAGCGGGGCCTGGGCCACTCGGAAAAGGGGGCACGGAGTCTCAGGTGGGGCCGGAATGGGGTGCACGGAAGCTAAGGAGGGAAACGCGGGGGCCGAAGGGCCAAACCCGAGAAGGAAACTGTAAAAGCGGCAGCGGGAGGGAAAGGAGTCGGGGAGGGGGGCGGGGGTGGGGGACGGAGGGAGGCTGAGCGTGAGGCCAGCCTCAGGGGGGAGAGAAGAGAGCGAAAGAGAGGTTGCCCGCGAAGGTTTTCGGGTGGGGTGAGGCCAGGGGGCGCGGAGGCAGGGAGGCAGGGTAGGGCAGTCTTAGGGCCAGGCGGGAATTGGGGCTCCGAGACGGACCCCTAAGTCGGGGGACTGAGGGGTGGAGGCAGGCAGGATGAGGGGCCTGCGGGGAGAGCGCGAGCGCTGGGTCGAAGGCGGAATCAAGCGAGAGTCGAGAACCAGAAGCTGCGGGATGGGGCGGGCAGAGCTGTGGAAGGAAGGTTTAGAATCCACATGGGGAAGCAAAGCTAACGAAATCCAGGGCTCCCGAGGCTTGCAGGCCTCCAGTTTCCCACCCTGGCCTCCCACCAGGCCAACCGAACGAGCCTTTTAAAGATGCCCCAGGTGGAGGCGCGGCCTGCGGCTGAAGCTGGTGCGGTCCCCCGGTCCCTGATTGCGCTTGGCCGTCCTGCCCGGCCCTAGAGGGAGAGGCGTCTTGGGTTGGGTCACTTATTGAGCGGGGCCCCTAGGAGTCCCGCGGAGCCCGAGTCCCTGAGTAACCCCATCTCGGCCTCCAACTCCAAGGAAACCCATGTTCTGCGCCCCAGCGACCGTGCGCTCCGGGGACACCGAGGATGGGGCTTGGGTTACAAAGCCGCAAGGCCCGGGGACACCCGAGGCCGAGGCCTCCAGTGCCCTGCGAGCTGCCGCCGGCCCGCCTTCGTCGGCGCCCGGGGTCGTTGTGCAGATTGCAAACCCGCTCCGGGTGGAGACCGGCGCCGCCTGGTGGGGACTGAGGGTTGACTGTAGGGGTGACGGGGTGAAGACTAGAGGCGGTTCAGAGCATCTGGAGGCGGCTCCGCCAGGGTCACACGCGGAGGAACTAGTTGCCTTTTTGTGGTCGCCAGGAAATGGATTTCGGCAGAGAGGGGTGAGTCTGTGGGCAGGTAGCGCTGGGGCACCAAAGACCATGCTGTGCTTGTGTGGTCACACATATGTGTTTGTGTGTGTGTGCATGTTTGTGAATACCTGTTTGTACCTGACAGGACTGCACCTGGGACAGCGGGTGGATCCTGTATGCATGAATCTCTGCGTGTGTTATGTTTAAATAGGTTTGTGTGTGTGCCCTTGGTATGTAGAGGTATGTGTTTCTGTGTGTGAGGGGTGTAGGGGTGCATGGAGGTGCATTTGAGCATAATCTTGTGGTCTATATATAGATGGCTGTCCTGTGAACCTGTGACCTGCGTCTCTTCGTTGGGGAGGGGGGCTGTGGGTATGTGTGTCTATCTATGTACATGCGCGCTGTCTGTGCGTGTGTGTCGCATGTGTGTCGGGGGAGGAGACTCCCCGCTCAGCCATCCCCCCCTCTTCCTTTCTACCCAAAATGCAGCTGTGAATCCATTCCGGAGTCCCAGGCGACACTGTTCCTTCCTATCCTGATCTTCTTTCTCCCTCACCCCTCCCCACTCCCCCTCCTCCTGTTTCCCTCGCTTTTGCAGGGTCTCCGGGCAAGCATCTCTGACCGAACCTTAGTTTAGCCATCCCGCGGCCGAGGACGCGGGAGAGGGGCCGGACCAGGGGGAGGACACACCGCCTGGGGCGTAGATCCCCGCGCAGGGCTGAGAGGGATGGGGAAAGGCGAGATTCCGGGTACAGGAGGGGGTCTTGAGGTTGAGATCTCCAAGGGACTCTGCTTCCGGCAGAGCCTGGTGCGCAGAACTGGGGGTCGGGGAGTAGGGGCAGGGGACAGGCAGAGCTGGGAATCCCGCGCTCACCTGGATAGCGTTGGTCACGTTCCAGCCCGCCTCCCACGCCGTGATCTTGGGCTTGTCGTGGCCCCCAAACTCGCCACCAGCTCCTAGGGCCTGGTCCTTTGAGCCCGAGGGCGGCAGTGGCGCGCCACCGCCGCGCTGGTAATGGATGTCTCCCTCGACGGGTGGTTCGGTGCTCTCGTCCCCGCAGAGCTCGCCCTCGCTTTTCAGGATGTCCATCTGCAAGCCCTGACGGTGCTCAAAGTCGAGGTCGTCGCAATGCGCGAAGCCCACCGCTTCCTCGTCGGTGGCCGCCTGAAAACCCATCCTGGCGAACATGCCGCTCACCTTGGCCTGGGACTTGTTGGACACGGACGTGGCCACATTGGACAGCTTGCTGCGGAGCAGGTTGGCCATGGCGGCGGCGGACCCCGAGGAGAGGACAGCAGGGACCGGGGACCCGGGGGACGCGCGGCCAGGCGGCGAGGGCCAGGGGGGTGCGAGGGCGCTATCTTCGCTCGCTCTCCCCGCGGCGCCCCGGGGCGCTGTGGCTCATGACCTCCTCCGCTGGCGTCTGAGGCTCGCTCGAGGCCGACCCGGCGGGCGGGCAGCGGAGCTGGAGGAGCGGCGGCGGCGAGTGCACTGCGGAGCTGCCGCGGGGCGCGGGCTGGGCTGCGGAGGGCGGCGGCGGCGACGACGACGGCGGCGTCAGAGCGGCTACGCGAAGCTGGCGCGGCCCCCCCACCCGCGCGCAGCCCAAACCGCTCCCGCCCCTCGGAATCAGGCGGGGATGGGGATGGGGGTGCTGGGGAGGGAGAAACACCGGGAGGCAGGAGGCGTGCGGAGGGGGCAAGGAGAAGAGACAGGGGGCACCAAGGGACTCCGGAGGACCGAGTTGGGTACCGGAGAAGGGCGCCCACGGAAGGGAGCGGGAGGGAGCGCGCGAAGGAGGGGTGCAGAGGGCGGGGTGGGGGCCAGAGTGCTGCATTTCTGGGGGAGGTGCTAAACTCCGATCCTGGCCCTTCCCATCTCGCAGCCGCAGGGAGGGAGGGGGCCCGAGCGGGCGGATTCTCTCGGTCCCCTGTCCCGGCTACCCCCTCCAGAGTCCGGGAGCCTTTCAGCCCCGGATCCTCTGGCCAAGGACCGGTCCAGACGCCCGGGAAGGCAGCAGGACAATTACCTGTCTCCGGCAGCGCGGACCGTCAGGGCATCGCTCTGTCTCCCTGGCACCCATCACTGGCACTTGGACCTGGTCGCAAGCAGCCCCCGCCTTGAAGGCAGAAGGGTGCGACAGAAGTGGGGGGACCACTCTCAAGAAGGCTCAGCCCCGGCCTCGGTCACTGGGGCTGTCTCCTCCCGTCCAGGGACGCCGCGATGGAAGTGATTCTGCGGTTTGTTTGCCACCAGCCGTTCTCCAAACGTGTGCAGAATGAAGGCGAAAGGTTGGCTGTTCGCTTTCTTTTCGTTTGGGAGTCTGGAAGGAGGAAGAACGGAAGGCACCTGTCGACAGCCTCGAGGCGGGTCTGCGAGTGCTGGCGCCGCGGAAAGGCGCGGCCAGTGCCTGGCACAGAGGAAAGAAGGGCTCGTTGAGGGCTCAGGGCCCAGGGCGCAGAGGCGCGCGGTGCGCTCCGGCCTTGCTCGCCCCGCGGCCGCCACGGGCAGTGAAAACGTAGACTGTTTCTGTTGAGTGGGTGGCATGTGTGTGCGCTCGAGAGTAGGAGAAAGACCCAGAGACAAAGACCGACATGGTATCAGCTATTGCTCCGGGCCGGATCTGAGTGGACTCCGAGGGTGAGATTTGGTAACCGTGTTTATTCTGTGAATGTGTGGTTTTGCGCCTCATCTAAGCCCCTGTGTGCACAGAGCTTGTGTGCTGAATTGTATGGGTAGATGCATTCCTGAATGAGTTGCTTGCGTTTTTGCCTGTAGGAGTCCTTTTGTAGTCGTGTCTCCGTGCGGGTCCGCGGCTCCATGTGTTCCCAGCTGGGCTCCTGCCCCCGGACTCAAGCGGTCAGCAGCAGCGTCAGCGACCTGGCCCTGCCAGCCGAGGTGGAGGAGAGCTAGTGGCTGTGACTGGGGGTAGGATGGGGAGAATCTGAAGGAAACGAAAAGAAAGGGGCTCTAGTGAACCCCTTCCCAAGACCCAAGCTCTCTGAGAAACCCCGTCTCTGCCTCCCCGGCTGTATTTCTAGATTAGCTCACGTCAGCGCACAAGTAGGGCGGCCTGAGGGCTTTGACCAGTTGGAGCTGCCAGGGCAAGACAGGCTTCCCTCTACCTCCCTCCCTCTCCCCGTCCCGCCCCCAGCGCCTCACAGCCTCTGAGACGCTCCTCTGCAGATAGGGAACCTCACCACCTTGGGCAGAGATGCTGTAATCCCTCCCAGGGACCCTCTTAAATACCCTCTTCCCCAAGAACCCGCCGGGCAGAAAGACAGAAATCGTCTGTCTGTCCTATCCTGAAGCATCTTCCCAGCCACTGTGACAAGAAAACCTTTCCACAGAGCCCTCTCAAATTCAGATCCTCCAAACAATGATGAGACTCAGAACAAAGACAGGACAGAGATCCTTCCCCCAAACAGAGATTCACTCCTCCAAAGAGGCTTTGAAGAAAAAAAAAAAAAGTCTGATCTTCCATCCCAGGAATTCACCCTATACAGAGACCCTCCCCATTTCCAACCCCAGATGCTGGAGAAAGAGAGAGAATCTTTCACTTACAGATTCCTAGAGACAAAAATCTCTATCACCTAATCCTCGTCCCTCCCTTTTCTGTTCTTGGTGAAATTCTTTAGTTGCACAGATGATCTCAGCAGGGACTGGAGTCCCCTAGTGCCCCCTTCCACCCCATGCATGCCCAGACCTGAAGATGGTCACTGATGCCCTCTTTGACAAGTGAATCAATAACATCTATGCATCAGTTCAGTTCTGTTCAGTCATTCAGTTGTGTCAGACTCTTTGTGACCCCATGGACTGAGGCACGCCAGGCTTCCCTGTCCATCACTAACTCCCAGAGCTTACTCAAACTCATGTCCATTGAGTCGGTGATGCCATCCAACCATCTCATCCTCTGTTGCATGTCTCGTGCATCAGTTGGGCATTGCCAATTCATGTGTGGATTTTATGAGGGTCCAGAGTGCTTATTCTCTCTTTCCTTTTTTCTGGTGATGTTCACTGCTGTAGGACCCAAGGTGCAGTTCTCTTAGTAGTGAGAAGTGGGACTCATTCATTCACTCATTTCTTCATTCATTCAGCAAACCTTCTTGAAGCCCTACTGTGTGTGTGTAATTCTCTTCCAGCTGAAGATGATACAGGCATGGCCCCTGTCACTACTCCTAACCCTAGTTCTTGGGTCTGGGTGGGGAGAACCTCAGGGAGAACTCAGGCCAATCACCGTCTCTGCAGTGTTTTAAACCACCCCTGAAACATCCCAGACAAAGCCTCACTTTCATTCTCATTGTACAGAAGAGCCAACCCAGGCTCAGTACGAGGGTGTCCTGCTCAAGGTCACATAGAGTCTAGGGTAGAGCCAGGCTAGGATGTAGGAGCTCTGATGCTCCTCCACTGTGCTTCCCCTCCACGATCTCATCTTGTCCTTCCGTGCCTGCTCCCTCTTTGTTTGGTGTTTGGCCACCCCACTGTCCAGAGAGACACAATTCTAAATTAGACTCCAGTCCTTCCAGCTGCAATCAAATGCCAGCCGCTGGGGGAGGAATGCCTCTGCTTCCCTCCTCTCCTGCTGTTGGCAGTAAATGCAGGCTGAAGGCTGGTGTGGCAAGCTCTTGAACAGCCCATCCCTTATGGCAAAATCCTGCTCCATCACGTACTAGCCGTGTGACATCGGATGACTCACTTAACATCTCCTAGCTTCCATTTTCTCATCACTAAAATGTGAAAATAACAACAGACTCCTAGATTTCTTGAGGTAATTCAACGAGCTTGTGTATGTAAAATTCCTAGCATGTGCTAAGGGCCCAATACATGGTAGTGATTATTTTATTATTGTTGTTATTGCTATAACCCAGTGGCCATTTTTCATTGTTTGGGAGGAAAGTGAGTGTACAACAAGAAAAAGTCTTGTGATTGGGGCTGAGAGTCGAAGTGAGCTGAATGCACTCCTTCTGGCTTTGCCTTGCTTCCCTGTCCTCACTCCTTCCAGTCCTGGGGTGACCTTAAGAGAAAAGGATGAAGGACAGGAGGAGGGCAGAGGGCAGGGGGCCTGGCAAGCAGCCTCAGGAGACCACCAGGACGACCTACCTAGCTGGTCATGAGCCAGTCTGTGCTCTAGTGAAGCTGTCAGCCTCCAGATTCTTCCACTAGCTCCTCTAGGGGCACCCTCAAGAGAGGAATTTGCAGCCGCTTGGCCCCCTGAGTTGAAACACAGCACACACATACACACATCTGCTCGCACAAGGAGCATGACAAGCCAGTTGACAGATGCACTAAGAAATGAGGACCAACACACAGATTCAAGTACATCGGTAGATTCACACAGATTGACGGAGCAACACACACAGGTCAGACACAGGCCAGGGCATCCACACGCTGATAGACACCCAGCACAGGAACACACACACAGATTCACAGCAACCAATGAGTCGTCAGGCACCCACAGAAGCAAGAATACCCCCATGTGATCACTGAAGGGGAAAAGAGGAGAGAACAAAGAGAGGAACGAGGCAGAGGAGACATGAAAAGGAAAATGCTAGAAGAGGCAGCAGGGAGACAGAGCAGGACATGACAGGCAGAGGCAGCAGCCAGTGGGACACAAAAGAGAGAGAGATGCCACAGGCTTCCTCTTGGCCAATGTCAGAACCTAGTTCTGTGACTAAGACAATGGGGTGGGGAGTTGGGGTGAGGGAGCAGGAACAGTCCCTGTTGTCTGTCCTGGGAGTGGGGGTGGGGACTCCCCTCCCAGGGCCACATAAGGTCCCACCTCTTGGGGGACCTAGGCTGCCTCAGAGGGAGCAGTGAGGGACTCCCAGGACCACTGCCAAGTTCTATGAACTGTATTCAGAATCAGTCCCACCACCTGGAGCCCGCGGTGGGGGTCCCTCTCCCATCATGAGATTTTTTTTTTTTTTCTATTTTTGATGCTTTTGGTACCCAAAGGGTTAAAAACCTGGCTAGCAGAGATGGAGGACACTTTGGGGGGGGGGGTGGAATAAATAGGGTTAAATAGAACCGGGCTTATCTCCCAGAGCAGGCAGCACCATGGGGGTGGGGCATGGAGCCCTTGAATTAATGGCCTGGAAAGCCAACATCATGAGCATCATTTCGGGGCTGAATGATTAGACAGACCCCCTCCTTTTCCTTTTTCAGAGCATAGATGGTGGTGAGCCTTTTCCTGCTAAAGGGGCAGCCACTGACTCTATAAATCACCCTCTGCCCTTCCCCCCGTCAAGCTGGGGCATTGGCTTGAGAAAGTCTTGCCTCAAACCAGAATCCAATTTCCTGATGCTGTGTCCATGGCACCAGGGCAGAGAGGCCGCAAGGCTGAGGACTCCAAGTGGGCAATCCATGCCCAGAACGAAGACCCTAATTCTTCTCCCTTTGGAGAGACAAATCAAGGGGCATCATGGGTGGTGAAGATGCTGTCTCTGCTAGTTCAGGGTAAAACATATTAAAATATATTAAATGAGTTTTTAAATGCTGGCACTTTTCCGTGCAGAAA